AAGTTACGCGAATTATAGCCTTCTACTTATTCATATTCTGTAGCAAAGAAAGTAACATACTGTATATAGCCGTATTTTTCGGCTGTACAGATATTTTCTCGACTTCATACATGACGACAATTTCGCGAGTGGTTCATTTCGCCGGTGGGTGAATATGATTATTCGGTATTATTTCAGTATGCACTATTCGGTGTTGTCTTATTTTCGCAGTCGGGGTACACGTTGCTGAAAATTCGCAAAATTAAACCACCGCAAAATATACAGCTTCAATCAGTATATAACCAATTATTAAGCATGTGTCCTACTAGCGAGCGTCCACTCAGAAGTCAGCTTTTTAACCTACACAAGTTAATTCTGATGTGACGTCATTCCTTTCGTGAGTGTTGATCCACCTAAGGTGGCTGAAGCTGAGAGTGAGGTTGCACACGGCCACTTACTTCAACTAGTTCATCTTCCTGAATTGGTCAGTAGCATGGTCACTGAAAGGCTATTCGATCTCCGTTTGGGCAGACAAATGTACTGAAACCACAATTGCTTTCATATTGCTGAATGTGGTATAAATTGTGCTACGGCCACGATAATTTTTCACTGTAGTGTACATTAATCAAAGAAATGATAACAGCAAGCAAATCGAAATTTACGATGTGTCTTTTTGCTTTGTGTGAAATTGCCACCTGCCACGTTCTTAATTCTGGGCATTTCTGCAAGAGGCATATATTTGCATAATAGCTTTTAATTCAATTGACTAATAGCAGAAGTATACCATACATATCAGGTAATAAAGGGGATTTTCCCTTTATCTACTCTCTGATACATATGCAACATACTTTACAACCCCCCCCCCCCCCCCATCCCCATGCCGTGGTAGAAGAATAGCAAAGGTATTTTCCCTTGTAGTCACTGGGCTGGACTTTCTTGGAAACTGACGCATTTACAGACACGCCTGTTCGGCTTGAATTCTGGAGCTGGGTTTCTGGACTTTAAAGCACATAGCTTTGTTAGCTAGAATGAAAGTACCAAACCTGTACTTTGTTATCATTTCAAACTGCTATTTGTCAAAAACAAGTAAAAAACAATGAAAGGAAATTATTTGAAAGAAATTTTTAGCATTGACGTACGCGGCATGAGTCCCGTAGCGCGCTCGCCGAGGATTGACACTTGTGTCTTGCAATCACAGTCTCCGCCGCCCCTTATATACTAACTTCAGTATTGAATCCTATTCGGGCACGGAGATCGCCGATCTCCGACTTAGGGCAATTCTGCTAGGCTAGAACGGTTAGCCTACGATAGAGGTTTGGCACAAAAACGAAAAATCACACGCTGTTTTTTGGCGCACAGTGCTAAGTTCTTTTCTTTTCATTTTCGCATATCTTGTAGGCACGGAAAAGCCCCGCTTTATTTGTATTGCAATGAATGAGGGGTTGTCAACGACGTGCAGCTTGACTCCTGTTACGCTACTGGCAAGCCTCGTTGACTTTTCGTAATGAATGGAATGCGCGCCGATGCATTCTCGATCGAAGAGAAAAATTTTCTGCATTTTCACTGCTGTCGCAAGTACAACGATGCGCGTCATTCAGTAACATTTTCGGAAAAAAACTCGCTTCGGGAGGCCAACTGTTTACAGGTCTACAGCGCCATCTCGTGATCATTTTTGATATCCTGCAACCTGCTTTACTTGCTTCCTTAGTTAAGTTAGTCCAAGTTTCACGTTATTTAGGAGAAAGGTAAGAATTGGTGTATTCGCATAATTTCCACTCTTGCTTCTATAGTACGATTTCGACAATTTTTGTCTTTTGCCCCAAATTATAATTATTTTCATTAAATAATAATTTCATAATAATTTAATACATTTTTCAGTTCGGACTCGCTATCATAGCGTTATTAAGCTCCGTATATTAATCCCCCTAGGTATGAACTATTTGTGATATTTTGATTACTTGGCTTTCCTATTAATCACCTCCGATCCTTTCTTCTGTTTTGTGAATTTTATAGTAACTATTATATTTGTTTTTGTTCATATATTAAATTCTTAATCTTTTTGATTCAGCTAATCTGGGGCTACACTGACGCAGGCCTCTCCGACTGTTACAGCGTCGTAGAACAGTTAGCCAATGTGTTTAGAGCCTGAGAATGGAACTACTGTGGCTAATCTCGATTGCATGACTGCAGCGTTTTTATATATTATATTATTAACTCTCTAATTTCTAGAATATC